ATGTGTGTGTTCAGGAGGACAGATGTGTGTTCAGGAGGACAGATGTGTGTGTTCAGGAGGACAGATGTGTGTTCAGGAGGACAGATGTGTGTGTTCAGGAGGACAGATGTGTGTTCAGGAGGACAGATGTGTGTGTTCAGGAGGACAGATGTGTGTGTTCAGGAGGACAGATGTGTGTGTTCAGGAGGACAGATGTGTGTTCAGGATGACAGATGTGTGTTCAGGAGGACAGATGTGTGTGTTCAGGAGGACAGATGTGTGTTCAGGAGGACAGATGTGTGTGTTCTGGAGGACAGATGTGTGTTCAGGAGGACAGATGTGTGTGTTCAGGAGGACAGATGTGTGTTCAGGGGGACAGATGTGTGTTCAGGAGGACAGATGTGTGTGTTTTGTCTCCACAGTGTATTTGTGTCCTCTCTGCTCATGTGACTGACACCTGATCTCTTTATTGAGCTGATTATTGATCAGCTGCAGCTCATAGATTGTAACTGATCACTCTGTAGAGACAGAATGTCGCCTGTCTTTTCCTTTTCTACAGTTTCTTTTTTTTTTAGTCACATTGTTGTTGGTTGTTGTTTTTTTTTATGTGTTTTCACTGAGTCAGGATTTGTTTAGTTTAAATTTTCTTCTTTAGTCTTTAATTTGATCATTTTCTCTTATGGTCAGAAAAACACTGAGAGCTTAGTTTTCAAAACTGAGATAAACATTCATGAGCTAAACCCGGGGCTAAACCAAGCTGAAAACAGACCTTATCAACCAAACAGCTAGAAGTTCTGCAAGCAGCAAAGCTAACATTAGCACAAAAAGGTAATATGAACAAAACTGTGGCTAAAAGCGATAAAATGTGCTAAAGCTAGCATTTGCATAACAAAATACTAATGTAGGTAGGTAAAAATAAATAGAGCAGAATGGTAGCTAAAAACACAGCACTGCAGCTAAAGGTAGTAAAATGCTAACTATTAGCAGCACCAGAAGATAAAAATAACCTCAGAAGCTGAAGCTGATTGTTTTTGATGAGCTGAAGATATGCTAACTCTGAGAATTTGATAAAAACCTTAAGAGGTGTCTTGGTTCTGATCAGTTTTTGGGTCTCTGGTTCTTCGGCTCGAGGGTCTCTGGTGAAAGTAGCTCCCAGTCGGCCTGTAAACATCCCATTAACACATGAATTATTCAGAGCGTCACCCGAACCCTGCAGGGATCCATACTGGGTCTGGGCTCAGAGTCCAGACTGACCAGATTCTGACAAACCAACAGACGTCAGATTTATTATTTAAAGACAAAAACAGCTGAAACTGTTGCAGCTGTTTGAAGCTTTGTGGGAAGTTTGTGCAGCACTTTACTCTGAAGGTGGCTTCATAAAGGATTTATTAATATGTTGTTATAAACACTTTATAAATCAGTTATTACTGACTGAGAGTTTCTTTAAATGGCCCTGTGATGGACTTGCGACCTGTCCAGGGTGTACCCCGCCCCTCGCACTGTGACTGCTGGATATGGGCACCAGTGACC